CATGCTAGACTTTTCTCACCCCTAAGCCTCAGCCCATAAGCCTGGATAATGAAAATAAGTCAGCGTAAGGCATATTTGTACTCAAATGCACTCTCTGTTTTTTGTACCCGTTTTGGTAAACAGGGTGGAGCATAAGGCTCAATTAAAATTATTTTTGCATTAATATAATTATAGATTTTGTGAACTCTTAACTAGGAAATAAATAAGCTTCAGACATAGAATGCATAACACTTGCTAAATTCAGTTTTGTGTTAGCAGCACTACAGTCAAATTCTGAGGCCGCCAAAATGCGACTCTAAKGCCGTTTACCCTTCTAGAAAAGTGACTTGGCTGTTCCCATGCTTTCTACAAGGGCCAGGTACCTGTAACAAGTACCATTTGTTAAGCTATCACGATCGTCTTGCGTCTCCTCTCGAGCTGGCAGTGCTGTCGCCAAGTTTCAAGTCCTGCCTTGGCTGGCAGCCCTGGCTTGCTGGTGAAACACCAGCTTTTGCCAATTTAGGGGAATTATACGGAGCCCTGCAGTAGAGGGCAGCAAAGGAGCGTGGCACATGGCTCTGGGCTCACCGTGGCGGTGGTTGCCYTCACGTTTGCCGGTTCCTCGCTGCTCTTCCAGGGAGCAGCTCCGGCAGTCGAGGGGGTCCTCGGAGTGCCTAGCAGTGGCCACGGGCACCTTCTTCTCCGGAGCTCCCTGGGCTGAGGCTCCTCTGAGGTGCGATGAGAAGGAGCAGGTCTGCGTTTAGAAATGTTTGGAAAAGGACAGCAAGTTAAACACAAGTCAAAGGGAAGGAAAGTGGGACCAACATGTCAACCCACTAATCAATCTGCTGTTAGGCTGAGACTCATCCTCAAATCAAGCATTTATGAAATGTAAGTGTTTGGGTAAACCCAGGCCACATTTAGCCTAGGCAATGTCACAAGTCCTCCATGCTTATAGGTGTGTCTTTGAGCTTAGCAAGGGTAAGCATATAGTCTTTGCTTTAGATCTTTCAGATAAATTGTCCTGCCACTTGTAAAAGATTGCACTCTCCAAGCAGTTTTAGTCCACAAAGATATTCAATTCAGAAGCACTAGAAAGGCTCATGTCTTCATGCTGGGGGAAGTAAGAGGTTATCTGGAAACATCAGGTAAAGATAGTATGGACAGCATGAAATCCCCCCTGCTTACACTGTATAAACAGAAAATGTTTTCTCTCTCCCTGTTATCTCATTTCCAAGTTTTCTTCCTTCTCTGTTGTGAACTTGAATTTCAAAGGGTAGGGCTTGCATAACATCTCAGCATCCTTTAAACAGGATAGGAAAAAAGCAGCACGAGAAAGAAACAACTTAGGCTCTTTCCCAAAAAGCCAACTGTGTGGGGACTGCCACACAGGCCTATCAGGAGAGCAGGATAAAAGGCAGGTCCTGTACTGCCGCCTTCAAATCCACGTGCTGTGCTCTCCTTCTATTTAACTGTGTCCTCATTCACTTTGTGTGCCTTTATCTCTCCCTACCCCTTTCAATTTTACTGAGCATTTTTCTGTCGTTGGGTAAAGTGGTTCATCCTTCTCCAGTATGGCCTATCTTTTTCAGGAACGATATCAGTCTTGCTGTATATGGTTTTGTGTTTTATCGCAGGGGCCAACATCTGATACAAGTAGCTGCTGGTAAACATCAGTAGCCTCTTTACCCATGAAAACACCTCCTCTTGCTCAGACCAAAGGCCCATTTCAGGCAGTTGCCCATTTCTGCCAATGTCCATCTACAAACCTTTCCCTCTCCTGTTATGCTCCTTGGTCTCTTTTCAGCAGTTTTTTTGACATTTCTTCCAGTCCCTTCATACCCAATGACATTCTTTTTTTTCTGCCTCTACCACGCCTAGATGTCCAAGGCAATTGTTTGCCAGCCACTGCAAACAGCTTTGGAAGAGTAATTCTGTATCCCCCTGCTAATTGTAATAATGTGATTCATCACAACAACAGTCTTACAGAGAAAAATCACTCTCAATTTTGACTGAGCAGTCTGGGATCCTTTAAACTGCGCAAGGCTTTGCAAAGCAACACAAACTGTTTGCTTACTCTGCTACCGAGCAAAGGGCAAACATGTCGCGTGTTCTTTCCTCTCCTTGCTACTCTGGCTTTCTTTCGGTGTGCCTTCTTTCAAGTATGAACCTTTCATCCACAATATAGAGCTCTTCAAGAGTAAACTCCACAGTAATGGYTTCAGTCAATGCTGAAATGTCCTGATCTCCAAGGCAGGGCCTGACAACTATTTAATGTTATTTAGCAGAGCCCAACAGTACTATAGAGCAGAAGAAGTTTCAAAGAGACAAAGTGGGTAACTCTTATGGATAGTCTCTTAAGGGCAACAAGCAGGCAGGAATTGATTTGCTTTTCAGAAAAACAAGCACTTTCACCTGCCTTCTGCACCCTCTCTCTGTACTAGGATATCAGTTTAATTTCCAGTGAAGGGCTACTATTTAATTAACCAGCTACAGCTTTTTTTTCCTGTAGCACATGGGACATTCCTCAGTAAATACTGTGTTTTCCTATCTAGCATGTAAGAGTCAGTGATACATCTTTCCTTTTTTTCCTCTGTCTTTTTCTATGTATCCTTTTCCCCTCCTTTTTTTTTTTCCCCCCCTGTACTTGCATATGCCTGCATCACTTTGCAAAGTATGCGGGAGACCTGTGGGCAAGCTGCACTCCAAGGCTTCTGAGAAGAGAGGTCCCAGGAGCACACATCTCATGCTTTCATTACTGCTGTCTCTTCTGATGAGTTTAAAGAAGGGCAGGTGACCTCAGCCCTAAGTGAGAAAATAAACAGGCAAGCAAACATTTGCTAGGCAAAGTCCCCRAGTGACAGCTGAGGCTGCTTAGTTTCTGAATGACTGGCAGGAAAGGTTGAGGGAGTGCTCAGACCTTTCCAGCCTCCTGTGCTAAGCAGCCAGCCAGGCAAGCCTCTCGCCTGAAATATTTTCTCTTAATTTTGTGCAGTCTTAAAAAATGATCCATGTCTAGAGATACTGTGATTAAGATACCCACATACRTACATGCATGCATATACACCTATAGCTGTGCRTTACGTTGTTATCAGGCTGTAGATGGCTGCCTCTTCAGTAAAGCTGCTCAGAGCAGCAGCCTGTTGGGCACTGCTCTCCCGTGCAGTTATGACATGGCTAGCGCTGCCCTTCAACATGACTCAKACTGATCAGGCAGGAAGAGCTGACAGGTGATTAAGAGGCAGCAGCTTTTATTTACTCAGAGCATCTCTTGGGACTTAGCAAGGAAAGAAGGACTTCAACAGGAATTGCAGTGGGATTTCAATGAGATTTATATCACAGGGCTAAAGCCCACAAGGTTTCTAACTTTTGTTTTTTTCTTTCAYGTAGCCCAAGGCAACAGAGACGGAAAGGTCTAGCGGTATTTAAAGACTTTGACCAACAAAATGACATGACCTGTCTCCAGCATTAACARCCTAATGCCTCTCCTCAGCCAAAATCACATTTGCCTGGTAACACCAGACATGATCATCTAACGTTTGCAGGTTTTGCCCCCCACCTTTCTGCAGTCCTTCATCAGAGCAAGAAGCATATTAGTTTCAGCAGAAAGCACGTTGGGTGATATTCAAAAACGAGTGCAGACTTCAGTAATTGGCAACAAATATGGGCAGCCTTTTAATCCGAAAGCAGGAGGAAAACTACCGAAATCGCTCCAGAAACAAAGTTGTCTGTCTTGGTGATGTCTGAAATGAGCTGATTTTAGCGTTCCTCCGCTATTCAAATTCTAATGCTGAAAACCAGAAAAGATTGTACAAGGCTCACAAGCAGAATTCATGCAATGCGTAAATATTAAGAATATTTTCCTCTTCTCCACAGCTTACCTTTATATTAAAATGATCCCAGAGTTAAAACCAACAGATTGGGAGAGTTCATTCCATTCCTTATTGCAGAATTTAGGCAGAATAGTAAGGTGAGGAATGTTTAGCTAACTCAGCTCTCTGATTGTTTGAACATCCCTAAGTGCTTTATAATTCAAAAAATGCAGGCATCAGTGGATAAACGGGATGCTTTATTACAGATGTTATATCCTCGCAGTTCTCCTGTGCCAACAATTTAAGTCTCAGCAACCCCTTTAAAACTCAAACTCCTATCTGAAAGCTACAATAATTCTG